GATATTCTCAGATCGGTTTCAGGCCTCGTTCATATGTGGAAATCTGAACTGAATCGGATACGTGTGTGTGTGTGTGTGTGTGTGTGTCTGCCATGTAAGCGGAGAGAGCGGATATTACCTCAACCACGATCACATGACTCAGTGGAGGACGAAGGCTCAGTGCTTTCCTGACCTTTAAAGATCGTGCGAACGCTTGTATTATCAGTTTGCCTGCGTCTGTTGCAAATCACACCGCTTTTACTTCCTTTTCGGCTTTTCCGGGTCAGTTCATCCACCGTTAGTTACGCCGAGTGTAAAGTGGAAATGCAGATATCTGATAGGGCTCAAATGTGTGCTGGTCGGCACAGAAAACCGGATATAGTCAATTGGACCTGCAGTGTGAACGCGGCCTAATTCAGTGTCAATTCCATTTTTAATTGATGTATGATCCAGATACAAACATGCTTGCAATTCAAAGTGTCAGGGCAATTTTGTTATGGGGATCGTATCATTGTCATGAACTCAGGGAAAGGGACTGTTTGCTCCAGGGTTGTTATCATTAACTACAAATAAAACCATTTAAAAAAAAAAAAGTTCAAGTATCAAACTTAATCTTGTTTTATTTCAGCTAATTTCTCATTTTCTTTTATTTTAATTTATGTACTAAAATAACCAAAACTAAAATTTAAAAAAAATATATACACTATATAGGCATTATATATACAAAAAGAAAACTAATAAAATTGACAATATTAAAATGAAACCGTTAAATAAATGAATTACAGTATTAAACTGTAACATGAATTATAATAGAGTATAAGTGATGCTAAAATAAGCCCAGTGTGATGAAGATGATCCATAAACACGGACAACACCCCCTCAGGGAACCAGACCTCCATTAACACAATCCTTTTAAAGGCAACATCAAATCCATAAAGTGCCACAATGCTCCATCATTTTAGAGGGAATAATAATATTCTATGTTTTAGGGTTTGATTGAATCGTTTGCTGTGATATTATTGGTTAATATATTTTTTTTGTCAGAAAAGTCAATCAAGTTATTAAAAGATTTAGAAAATAAATTTCTTTAGAATAACGTGCACTAAATTGTGACGTAAAATAAATACATTTAGTTTTAAAAATGTTCCTGGGTTTATATGTATTATGCTTTTCTTTGGCTCAGACAGTAGATTATCGGCGCTTGCAACGTCAAGGTCATGGGTTCGATTCCCAGGGGAAAGCAAGAACTGATAAGAATGTAAATATGTACCTTGAAATGCAATGTAAGTCGCGTCTGAAAAATGTAAATGTAAATATTTCTGAGTAAAGCTGAATATCATTTGGGAAATAATAATTTTATTGGATCATTGCTATTAGGGATGCATGATATATCGCCCATCCTATCGGTATCGGCAGATGTTTCATACAAAATAAATGTTGAATGTTATCGTTATCGGTCCATTATGTAAATTAAGGCGATATATTGCAGCCGATAAATATTAAATACTGTATTCTTTCCTTCAGCTGAGACTCTTCAGATGCGCTCTGTTCGCCATGATGATTTTAAATTGCTTGAAATATGATTGAAATCACTTCAAAAAAGAAAATACATATCGGCTCATATCGGCTGCATAAAAGTATAATGAGAGCATTATTATTGTGTGCATGGGACGTGGCCGAATTTTTGTAATCAGGCTCTCTATAAAATAATATAACAATTTACATTTTGATTTATAGTCCAATATATCGGTTATCGGTTTTCAAGGTTATCGGTATCAGACAAAATGATATCGGTGCATCCCTAATTTCTATTATCGGTTTGTATCAATGCCCAAGTGACCTTTTTTTTAGCAAGAAAGTGGTTGCATAGGTGGAGAAAATGATTACATTTAAAGATGATGTTTTTTCTAGAATATAGTATCATGCACAATGAGAGCAGGGACTTTTGTTAAGAAAGTACCTTGGCTCAGTTTCAATTTCATGATGCCTTTAAATGCCAACTGTGTAATTCATAAAGCAAGGGCAAGCAGTCACAAAAAGACAAAACGAAATACCCACAAAGCTGCTTTTTACACCCTTAGCCTTGCACCTCGGGTACGTGGGATGAATGTTAGTGTAAGTTTAACGCGGCGGTCCCAGCTGAAGGAGTGTGTGAAAACAGCTGAATCATGCACTATCTCTGATGTCTCACGGCTGTCTCGTCCTCTTCTCTCTGCTCAGTGTCTGAACAGCGGATTCTTTAGCAGTGATGGAAACGATGATGATCCTGCAGAGGTAAAATTCTCCATCGCCTTAAAAAGCGCACGGCAGAAAAGAAAAGAGAGAAAAGGAGAAAGAGAGAGAGAGAGAGAGAGAGAGGAGGAGCCTGCTAAGGTATAATTTTCTAGCGCTCTTATTCCCTATTTAAACCCTTACAGAATTCACCACAGTAACCATAGTTTCCGCCAAAATACCACAATTATTTATAATTATACTTATTTGTAACTAATAATTATACAACCACTTAAAATTCAGCTCAAAATACTGAATTAGAAAAATAGACATAAAAAAAAACAATTATGACATTAATATATTAAAGCTTAACACTTAAAAAAAGAGGAAATAAACAAAAAAATTAGGGCTGTCAAATGATTAATCACGATTAATCACATCCAAAATAAAAGTTTTTTTTACATAATATATGTGGGTGCACTGTGTATAATTATTTTGTATATATATAAATACACACACATGCATGTATATTTAAGAAAAAATATTATTTATATATAAAATATTTATATATAATATAAATTATATATAAATCTATATACAGTATATACATGAAAATATTTCTTAAATATATACAAGCATGTGTGTATTTATATATATAAAATAATTATACACAGTGCACCCACATATATTATGTAAAAAAAAAAAACTTTTATTTTGGATGTGATTAATCATTTGACAGCCCTAAAAAAAATACACTGTTTTTGGATTGGATTTGCTCTGTTTATTAATATTTGTATTCCTTGTGTTCTACCTTCTTTTAATTCTAATGTTGATATTTTCCAAATTAAAGATTTTTTTTTTTAAAAACAGTGACTTAAAAGATTGACAATTAAAGCTTAGCATAAAAAAGAAACAATTTATTATCTTAATATGTTCTATTTTCTTAGAGATTTTCATTAAAAACAGTGACTGAAAAATAGGGTTGGGAATCAAAAATCGATTCCCGTTCTGGAATTGGATACTTGTTATTAAATAAAAATTTCGATTCCACTTATCGATTTCTGTCTGTGCGCATTTTGATGTGGTTTTAAACCATTCACGCCAAAGAAGACACGACAGAAAACTCAATTCAGTGCATGAAATACTGATTTGACTATTTTTGTGCTTGAATGGAGAAGTACACACAAAACAATGTCAAAATATCCTCGTAAACGCAGTCAGTTATGTCTGAAGTTAACGTAAACAGTTGAGGAAGAAAACGCATGTGTAACAGTATATTGGATCCGTGCAGCTCTTAAAGTGACAGTGGCCTAATAAACCTGCGGCCGTCTGTGTCATTACTGTTAATCAAAGAACTAAAGAAAATCACTCACTGGTCTTGACTGAATAACTTTTTAGATTAATGCTTATTAAAAAAGTTGAGTTATTTTACTTGATTTTACTTTAATTTCTGAACTTTGTTTATTTGTGCTATTGTTAATTTGCTTATTTGTTCTTATTGTATTGCTAACTGTTTACTAGTCTTAATGTTTGGAATTAAAATTAGTTTGTCTAGTTTATTAGTAAGTGTTCTTTAGCCTGATGTGTTTTGTTCATAGTACTCAGCGGCAACAGAATATTTCGCAAAAAGCCAGAATAAATATGTTTGGTATCTAAATGTTTGACGACTTCTTTTTTTATTTTTTATTTTTTATTTGAATCGAAAATTCATAAGCAGAATCAGAATTGCTAAATTTCAAACAATATCCAATCCTGCTGAAAAGATTTGTTCAGATGCGTCTTTTCTAAAATATGAACGCCTGGAGTCTGTCTAATTTCAACTGCTAAAAGGCTCTGAATTTTAAAGGCTTTAATTCTGGCATCTAATCGATTTTTAGCTTTGAGCTTCAAACTGTAGAAGATCCTCTATTGGAGAATCAGAGGTCAGATAGCGACTCAACTTTTTTGTTAATGCCCCTGACTTTGAAGCAACTTTTAGCTAGTTTGAAATAACCTGAGCCAGCTCTCATGGTCTTGGCAGTGACCAGTGAGCTTCTTCTGTGTGTGATATGGCATTCCTGTAGCTTAAACCAGTAGAGTCAAGGTCATAGGCTCCATTGCCAGAGAATGCATGAATGCAATGCAAGTTCCTTTGGATAAAAGCGTCTACCAAATGCATTAATGTAAATGTTCTTAGGCTTAAGAATTGACAACGAATGCAAAGTCACATAGCGTATCTGAATATTCGTATATACATTCATTCTATCATAATTGCTTGCATGGTGCTCCTGTTCGTGTTTCAGCAATCCGTGACAGAATAGGATGGAAATGTCAAAGGCAGTCTTTCAGTCTGTCATCTCATCCATTATTTAGTCGCTGAATGTGACAGACTTTCGACGTTTCAGCAAAAACAGTCGGTAGGTGTGACACCGCCGACCAAAATCAAGATGTTTTTAGTCAGCTAGTGGGATGTTTCCTTAATATGGTGATTTGTTGGAATCTATGGTAACTGTGGCGCATTTTTAAGGGAAATTAAAACATCAACCTAATACTCATTTGTAAACTTCTTTCTTCAGTGTAACCCCCTTGTTCCCTTATCTATGGCAGAACTGATGAGTTTAACATGATAAATGAACTATTGCACCATCAGCTCTCTCTCTTTCTCTCTTTCACTGGCTCGCTTTCTTTCCTTGTTCCTCTCACCAATACAGTCAGTAAGCAATGCAGGCAAGTTTCATTCAAGTATGTCTAACTGATGGAATATGTCCTGCTCCCTCTAGATGGCGCTATGTGTGTAAGACTGCAGATGTTGGTGGTTGTGAGTACATTACCATTATAGTCGTGACGATAACCGTCCTGTTCTCCATAGCGGAGTCGTTGCCCATCGAGAGCTCATTCTGGACCAAAACCAATTTATCCAGGTCGTTCCAGTAACCGATCTGCAGATGATAGACGACAGGGTAATCAATCCAGTGTGTGTGAATTTTACGGTGTGTATCTGTATAAATGTCGCTTGTGTGTGTCTAAATGCATGAAAGTGTGTTGTGTGTCTGACCTTGCGGGGGCCGTTACTCTTTAGCTCAAAGACGTCCATGGTGTAGTTGACTCTGCGTCCATAATGATCAAACTGGATATTCCCAGTGAGACCATGGATTCTCACCTTTACATACAAACACACACACACACACACACAAAGAAGTATTAGTAAGACAGTTACACACATCACTTTTGGTAAGCATGGAACAAAAAGTATAATTTATAGCTATTTATTTTGCTGAGTGGATTAAACCTTTGAGATCAGTTAAAAGTAGTGTCAGAGTGATTAAACCGCTTTGATGGCTAATTTATGCAACATCCTTTGCATCTTGCCGTTTTAAAGGAGTCATAATGTGCAATTTTCACTTTTCCATGAGAATCAATGTATGTTATGATTGACTAACGATTATACATTGGCCGGGATGCCGATATTCAAAAGTGAAGCGTTTGTTTACCCCAGGGTTCTTAAACTAGCCAACGTGCACGCGCACTCAAATACGAGATTTCAATTTCTCCCCCGACTTGACGTCAAGACGGGGCCGGATATACCATATATGGACACCGCAGAGGAGGCCCGCCCTGCCCCTCTCCCCATCATATTCAGTCAAGGAAGATGCAGAAACGTAGTGCACACGTGAGTTGCTCTGTGGTTGACTGTCATAATCCACATTCTAATATTTTTTCTTTACCCAAAACAGACCAAACTACAAGGGACAAGTGGATGAAATTTATTTTCAATGACGCTGTTCCAACAACCATCTCAACTTGCTCAACGTTAGGTGTCTGCGCTAAACATTTCACAAAAGAATCTTTTACAAATTTGGGGCAATATCAGGCGAAGTTGGCATCGAAGCTACGTTTGGAAAAAGGTGCCATTCCAACAATCAGGGACTTGCCTGAATTTGAAACGGTAAGACTGTGTTTTTATTACTATATTTTGTGTAAATAGCAGCTAACTACTAATGCGGTTAATGTATGTGATGTAAACACGGGGAATGGACTCTACGAATGCTAGCCACATCTTTCCACTAAACAGACTAGAAAATGATACAGCTATTATTTAATATAATCGTATACAATATAACAATGACAACATATCATTGTATTGATTTTTTTATATAATAGATAAGGATAGATACATTTAAAAAACAGTCAAGAATTAATAAACATAAAGAAAAACATAACGTTACATGTCTGCAGATGAAAATTATTAAAATATCTAAAAAACCACAACGTCAAAAAAGGCAAAAACAACACATTATAGCAAACGTTAATCTCTATAACCACTGTAAGCTGAAAATAAAGTAGACTACATCTCCGTTAATGTAATCTACATTAAATTAAAGCTAAACTTATGTGGGAGAAAATAGCAAAAAACGTTTTAGCTCGTTACTGATGTTAATGTATGTCTCAGTCAAAAAAATTGTCTTTACCATTCAGAGACATGTTGATGTAGACGTCCTTCAATTGACTGTTGTTCCTCTTCCGTTTCCAGCTCTGGTTCAGAGTCTGGCTCAAACATATACGGTTGAATCCCGTAGGTCGCGGCCAGGTCGGGTTCATTAACAACTTGCGCCATGATCTCTTTTTGGAATGATATGCTGAAGTTACCTGCGGTGTCAAGCCCCCTCCTTCCTGCCACCAATCAACGCGCCCTTCATTTGCATTATTAAAATGACCGTCCACGACAGCCAAAACCTCGCATCAGATCTCGCGAGACAATAATGCATTCAGAAATAAGGGTCAAACGAGCTCTCTGTTTATTTTTTTCCAATTTTTCTTTTTTAGAAGGGCATGAAATGACTATAATAGAGCGTGGGTATCAAAGTTAATACTACATTATGACTCCTTTAAAGCCCACATGAAGTTCCGCCAAGTCCTCTCTGTCATACAGAGTCCCGCCCACTCTCACCTTTCAGGGAAAGCCCCGCCCACTCCCACCTGCGTATAGTCCCGCCCACTCTTACCTCACTTTCACCTGTCATAGACAGCACCCGTCCAGTCTTACCTGTCAGACAGCATCTTGCCCAGCCTCACCTGTTATGTTGAGTCCTTCCCACTCCCACCTGTTGTACAGACTCCTGTCCACATTGACATTTCAGACAGCATCCTGCAGTCTTACCTGTCTTAGAGCCCACCCACTCCCACCTGTCCTATAGAGTCCTACCCACACTCACCTTTCAGACAGTGTCCTGCCCCGTCTCACCTGTAGAGTCATGCCCACTGTTACCTGTCAGACAGCATCCCATTCAGTGGCTGCATACAAAATCACATACTCTCTTGAGTAGGTACTTATTTTGAATAAGTAATTCCTTCACAGCCGCTACAATAGTTCGTTGTATATAGTATGAGTGTGTGTAGTATGAGTGTAATCTGGATGTACCACATTTCAGAATCTCGCCGGATGAAGGTTATCCAGGTACGTATGCCTACTCTCTTATGAGTACTGTAAATTCGGACATACTACTTTTGTAAAATACTGTTTTTCGCCTACTTTATATAGTAAGCAAGTATGCGATTTCGGATGCAGCCATTGTCACCATTGATACAGAGTCCCGCCCACTCCCACCTGTCGTACAGATTCCCACCCACTCCCACCTGTCATACTAAGTCCCTCCCACTCCCACCTGTCGTACAGATTCCCTCCCACTCCCACCTGTCATACTAAGTCCCTCCCACTCCCACCTGTCGTACAGAGTCCCTCCCACTCCCGCCTGTCGTACAGAGTCACTCCCACTCCCGCCTGTCGTACAGATTCCCTCCCACTCCCGCCTGTCATACAGATTCCTTCCCACTCCCACCTGTCGTACAGAGTCCCTCCCACTCTGACCTGTCGTACAGAGTCCCTCCCACTCCGACCTGTCGTACAGAGTCCCTCCCACTCCGACCTGTCGGACAGATTCCCTCCCACTCCCACCTGTCGTACAGATTCCCTCCCACTCCCACCTGTCGTACAGATTCCCTCCCACTCCCACCTGTCGTACAGATTCCCTCCCACTCCCACCTGTCGTACAGATTCCTTCCCCCTCCCACCTGTCGTACAGAGTCCCTCCCACTCCCACCTGTCGTACAGATTCCCTCCCACTCCCACCTGTCGTACAGATTCCCTCCCACTCCCACCTGTCGTACAGATTCCTTCCCACTCCGACCTATCGTACAGAGGCCCTCCCACTCCAACCTGTCGTACAGATTCCCTCCCACTCCCACCTGTCGTACAGAGTCCCTCCCACTCCGAGCTGTCGTACAGAGTCCCTCCCACTCCGACCTGTCGTACAAAGTCCCTCCCACTCCGACCTGTCGTACAGAGTCCCTCCCACTCCCGCCTGTCGTACAGAGTCCCTCCCACTCCCGCCTGTCGTACAGATTCCCTCCCACTCCCACCTGTCATACTGAGTCCCTCCCACTCCCACCTGTCGAACAGATTCCCTCCCACTCCCACCTGTCGTACAGAGTCCCACCCACTCTCACCTGTCGTACAGAGTCCCACCCACTCTCACCTGTCGTACAGAGGCCCTCCCACTCCCACCTGTCGTATAGATTCCCTCCCACCTGTCGAACAGATTCCCGCCCACTCTCACCTGTCGCACAGAGTCCCACCCACTCTCACCTGTCGTACAGAGTCCCTCCCACTCCCACCCGTCGAAGAGATTCCCTTCCACCTGTCGAACAGATTCCCGCCCACTCCCACCTGTCGTACAGATTCCCTCCCACATGTCGTACAGATTCCCGCCCACTCCCACCTGTCGTACAGATTCCCTCCCACCTGTCGAACAGATTCCCACCCACTCTCACCTGTCGCACAGAGTCCCACCCACTCTCACCTGTCGCACAGAGTCCCACCCACTCTCACCTGTCGTACAGAGTCCCACCCACTCTCACCTGTCGCACAGAGTCCCACCCACTCTCACCTGTCGTACAGAGTCCCTCCCACTCCCACCTGTCGAAGAGATTCCCTCCCACCTGTCGAACAGATTCCCGCCCACTCCCACATGTCGTATAGAGTCCCACCCACTCTCACCTCTCGTACAGAGTCCAAACCCACTCTCACCTGTCGTACAGAGTCCCTCCCACTCCCACCTATCGAACAGATTCCCTCCCACCTGTCGAACAGATTCCCGCCCACTCTCACCTGTCGTACAGATTCCCGCCCACTCCCACATGTCGTACAGATTCCCGCCCACTCCCAGCTGTCGTACAGAGTCCCACCCACTCTCACCTCTCGTACAGAGTCCAAACCCACTCCCACCTGTCGTACAGATTCCTTCCCACTCTCATCTGTTGCAAAGAGTCCCACCCACTCATACCTGTCGTACAGTAATGCTCACTCCCACCCGTCGTACAGATTCCCGCCCACTCCCACATGTCGTACAGATTCCCGCCCACTCCCACCTGTCGTACAGAGTCCCACCCACTCTCACCTCTCGTACAGAGTCCAAACCCACTCCCATCTGTGGTACAGATTCCTTCCCACTCTCATCTGTTGCAAAGAGTCCCACCCACTCATACCTGTCGTACAGTAATGCTCACTCCCACCCGTCGTACAGATTCCCGCCCACTCTCACCTGGCTCACAGCATCCCATCAGCTCTCATCTGCCTTGCACAATCCCACCCGCTCTCACCTGTTTCAGAGTTCGTTCCATGTCGATGCCCTGATTCCAAGGAGCAGCTGGGTTGGCCAGGCAGTCTCCAGCATTGCCTCTGCGAGAGATGTCGATCTTCTGTCTGCGCAGATTTCGAAACGCCTCCGCCATCACTAGCACACCATCATACGTCAATGATGATGTGTACTAAAAGGGTAAAAGGAATATTTTGTGTTAATTCACACTACATTACCCATGCTTCCTGTTTACAGTCACATATCAAATGTAATGCTGAGCTGTCGTAGTGCCTAAAGTAGATGTAAATGCAACAGAAAGGGCATTCTAGGTGAGCACATTGATTATTGCCTCCGCCTGCTTGCTTGTAAGGGTGTGTGTGTAATGCAATGTGACATAAAACGGCAATGTAGCGATGCCGCTACTTGTTACTGGAAAAGCTATTTAGCTGTAAAGCAGTACAGATTGTTGCTACAGAGCAGTAAAGATTCAGAGAGATTGCTGGGGAAAGCGGTGCAGGGATCTCGTTGTTTTTCTCTTCCTCACCAACCTCACCAATTATCAAAATGGATTTTCATCTCTAATTTCCATAAACAAATACAAAAGCATGGCTATTTGCATGAGTAAATCCTGCCCAATAAGACAGAACGAGCCTCAGCGGCCGGGTCTGCACTGACACAAGACATTATGAATGAACTTGATCAGCGGAAATGAAGATTTATGGTTGTAGCAGAGGCATAATAACATCCAATTAACATCGAAGGAAAGACAGAAACAAACAACAATCATTAAAGGGGGAGTCAGTGAGTGAGATGCAGAAAATCAAGAGCGCTCAAGAGATGGAGGTAGTCAAGGATCTTGCCTGTATAGTGTGCTCTAATAAACCTGTAAAGATTGGTTTGATGTTCTCTGATAATTTATAGCAGGGACTGCAGGATGGAAGTGCTAATCAATGGGAGTAGAGAAGGATCTCCATGTTCTCAACGGAGGGGAACTTTTTTTTAGCTGAGGACAGCACGATGAGGTGAGGTTATGCAGCACAAAATCATCTTAATGAGTAGATTTGTACTGTTTTCCAGTTAGGGAGAACTGTAATCATTTTGTGTGGTACCGCAAGAGCTTGATGGTGCAAGCGTTTCACTCACATTTTAGATGTATAGTATGTGTAGATATATTTAATTGTGGCCCATTTTTTTCAAATGTTTTTTATTTTTTATTAAAATGTTACATTTTTCAATTAGGGAGCACATGTGCTCCTTGGGAAAAAGCAAATGTCACTTCCTCCCAAGGCTGTGAATTTGTCTCTTGGAAAATTAAAATGGTATCCCAGTCACCCTAGTGACAAAAACACCTAAACCAAAATGTATTTAAAATATGTTTTATTTCATTCTATAAGTATACAAACCCATGACCATATTTACTGACATGTCGCTTGAGACTTGGGCTACTGATATAAATATTGTAATTCAACTTTATTTTGGAGTACTACTTTATTGCACAATGCAAATTTCTTAATATTAAGCCTAAATGCGTTTTAATATCACTTTTAGTAAGGATAGTACGATCTCTATATAATATCAGTCTTAAAATAAATGCAAGATATTTAAAGTATACTTGCAATAGTTAGATTTTAGCACAATCAAATATATTTAAATATATCTTTAATTGGACCTTAGCACTATTTCCGGATAACTAAAGTGCATTAAGTGCAAAATTAGTTGTTCCAATTTAGCAGACTTAAAGTACAATTTCAAGGTATTTATATTAAGCACACACATGTAATTTTATTATACTTAGCATAAAATAAATGCATTTCAAATCCATTTTGGTATATTTATTTTTCACTAGGGCATCAAAACGATGTAAACATTGACTTCATTTCACACATTTCCCAACAGACGGGTTAAAATGTGGCTCCGGCTGCAGTCTGTCATGGCGTAATTGACTCAGATATCACTGGGCAGCTTCTCATTGGCTAAAGCTTGACGGAGAATGTGCCCTGTCACAGTCTGATTGGCTAAACATCTGTGACTGGACTTCTGCCACATGTGTCTGACAGTATTATAGCATCAGATTTGCAACCTGTTGTTTGCTGAGCAAAGAACGACGATTTCAAAACACACGTTTCAAGTTGAAAAGGAATTATTCATTAGTGTTTATAGCACAAATCTTTGAGCTGTTACCTAGGTCTTTAAAAGCATGTGCAAATAATGACGCACTCAATTCAGTGTTTGTTATTCTGGTTTGCATTTGGGTTTAATTATGTTGTGAATGTATTTGCGTTTACCCTGGGTGGGCTCTCAGATCCTGGATACTCCCTCTGGTCTAGTTTATTCCAGCGTTGCATTAGTTTGATCACCATTGCTTTACTGAAATCCACCAACTGGAAACCGGTTACGTTTGCCCCGCCGTGCATAAACCTCTCAAGAGAAATATCCTTAAAACCCTGTCAGGGGAGAGAGGAAATTAGAGCGAGGGAGATGGGAAAACGGGAGATGAATAGAACGAATGTGAGGCAGAGTGAGTTATAACATTTCTTAATATCCCACATGCTGACACACTAACAAATGTCAACACAGAGTTAAGGCACAGCACAAATAAGCGACGATAAATCACTCGTAACAAAGTGCGGGTTCAGCGGTCCATCATAGTCAGAGTATCCGAAAATGAAAAAGACGGCAAATTCCCTCTCATTTCAGATGGATGTATCACCCAAAAAGAAAACACGTGAGATGTGCAAAACTCAACACCATGTTTCTAGGGTGTTGAGGATGTGGTTTCTGAATAAACATGTAAAAAAAAAGAGAGTGAGACGCCCTCAAGTGATATTCTGTGTAAATGTTGCAGGTAAAAAATGGCACATCTGGTCACTTAAAGTGACAGCGCACCTGATTTGAGGAATGTCTGGAGCACAAGCGATGCCAAACGTGCCAACACGTAATTCTAGTCTGGGGTTTTATTCGGGAAAATAAAGTGGCACATCGCTCGGCTCCATCACATCACGGCCAGAGGACACACTGTCCTCTACATGTGTTCATTTCCTCGAGCGCTCTCTCTCACTCAGCTGGATAAACCAGTGCCAGGACTCACCAGGTTAGCGACGATGTAGTGGTATCCTTTCACATGTTTCCCCACACTCACGATCTGAGAGAGAGAGAGAGAATTTTGAATTTTAACACACCTTTTATTACAAATAACCTAATACTAATACATTCAGTTCCTACCTACAAGAGTACAAAAAACCATACACATTCAATATATCAAATATCCAAACAAATACCCATAAAAAAAAAAGAGAGAGAGAGAGGGGAATATCAGAGAGTGAGAGAATTGTACATACTTTTCAGGAATTCAGTTACTTATATTTGTGAAAGTGTATGTGATATGTGCATTGCATTTACAGTTTAAGTTCCATCAGACATTTAGAAATGCTTTTTAAAGTCACCATGAAAACAAAATGGGCAATTTTTGTTTTTAGGGAATATTGCAGTTTATTATAAATTGTTTATCCTTGAAAATATATATTATTTTTTTTTTATCTTTGTTCACTTGTCATCAGAGAAGAGATGCAAGAACCAGGGGAAGTTATTTTGATTCAAGATTATGAGTGCGTGGCATATAGAAGATGGAAAAGCCCTGGTCTAGTTTGTAACCGGTGTGTGTGTGTGTGTGTGTGTGTGTGTGTGTGAGATGCCAGATCCACAACATCTGCTCAAGGAACACGCTGGCAGGACTGGCGGCTCGTGTAGAGAGAACATTCTGTTGGTGTTGTACCTGACGATGTCCAACTGCGAGACGGTGTGTGTGTGTGTGTGTGTGTGTCTGGTTGTATTTGCCAAATCTACTGTCAGGCTGATAGATGGGCACCTTTCGAGGTCTGCCCGAGGAACAGACGGACCGTGCAACAATCAAACACACCCTGCAATCTCAGAGTTCATAGATCACACACACTGAGAGCCGAGCTGTGACTCCAACATCATTACCGCTGATACACACACTAGCTCACATTAATACACACACCAGCCATCATAAGGTTTGCAATGAGTCTCTTATGACAAGCAAGGCTGCATTTTTTTCCGATCAAAAATACAGTAATATTGTTCAATAATTTCAGTTTGAAATAACTGTGAATATATTGTGAACTGTGATTTATATGGATGCACGATATCACGATATATGTTAATTTGTAATGTTATTGTTATCAGCCTGAAAATGTTGATGGTGAGACTTTTGTTTTGTGTATTCAGGCTCTCAAAAATGATATAAAAGTGTTATTATCAGTGTTGACAACAGTTGTGCTGCTTCATATATTTGTGGAAAACTGTGATCCATTTTATTTTTCAGGATTCTTTGATGAATAGAAAGTGCAAAAGAACAGCATTTAATTGAAATATAATCAATAAACGTGAATTTCTCGTCCCGGGTAACACGGAGAACGGGTAAGCATTGTTCATTTGCATATACTACCGACCAGGGCTTGACATTAACACCCGCCAAATGTGTGTGTGTTTCATCAGTGGTGTGTATTGAGTCACTCCTCTAGCCACTTTGGCGGGTTGAATTTTATATAATATACATTTTTCAATTGTAGTCTTTCAAAAAGGAATCTGAAATAATAAACTGAGTGCAAACTAGTGTTGTCAAAAATATCGATTTTTCAATACTGGAATATCTGAAACTCTTCCGCAGGAAACACAATACCAGCTGCTCTTTCTCTCTCTCTCATCTCTCCGACAGCGAGTGACACACAAACCCGCCTCTCCTCACTCACTCGATTCATTTGCTCTGGATGAATATTGTTGGTGTTACAGGGCTTGAATTTCGTCACGTATTAAGCATAATTTTACTAATTCCCACAGATTTGGTGCTCACACCCAAAGTGCGTGTACATAAAGACACTATATTGGTTATAAAACAGTATAAGGGATCCGTGCGTCAGCTCTTAAAGTGACAGTACCCTAATATAGCGGCTGCCAAAGATGACACAATATTAAAAATATCTATTTTGCAGTTTTACCCCCATGGAATCGATGTCAAAATGGTGGTCAGTGAATGCACTGAGTGGCTTGTAACTTTGGAAAACCACTAGCCACAGTCGCCGGTCAGCAAAAAAGTGAATGTCAAGCCCTGCTACTGACATTATAACAATACAAAGCGGGTTTAAAATGGGCGAAGTTGCTTTAACTTCAGCTCGGGTCG